AACCCAGAACCTCAATTAATGGCTGATACCAAATGAGAGACTCCCCCCTGGGCACACAGAAAACTGGGCGACTTGAAAGGCGCTGACCAAACTGCACTCTGGTACCATGAGATCCAGAGCCAACCTCAAGAAATGGGGCCACAGAGTGGAATCCAAGACATGCGAGTGAGAAGGAGAGCAAACCACAGACCACCTGCTGCAATGCAACCTGAGCCTTGCTACATGCACAATGGAGGACCTTCTTGCAGCAACACCAGAGGCACTCCAAGTGGCCAGATACTGGTCAAAGGACATTTAATCAACTACCAAGCTTGCAAATTTTGTGTTTTGTCTGTTTGTTTGTTTTGTTCTGTTAGAAATGTAATACAATTGTCTGGTTGCCCCTGACACGATAAATAAATAAATAAATAAATAAATAAATATGTGTTGTGGTATAATAATATAGTACAATATAATAATATATAATAGAATTATTATATATTATATTTTACTAATAATAGTGCAGTATAATGTAGTACAATATAATAATACATAATACTAACGGCCCTGGCCCAATTTACCTGCCTGAATGCATTTCCCCCTATAAACCACCGCGGAGATTATGATCTTCTGGAGTGGCCCTGCTTTCAGTCCCGCCACCATCACAGTTTGGTGGGGATGAGCGACAGTGCCTTCTCAGTGATTGCCCCTCAGCTATGGAACACCCTTCCTAATGAGATCAGGTGAGCTCCCTCCCTCTTGTTCTTCAGAAGGATGATAAAATCGTGGCTGTGGGACCAAGCCTTTGGGACTGTGTAATGAGGCGGCGATAGGAACCCTTAGTATGCCAACCAAACTCAATATGGTTGTTGAGACAGTTTTAACTAGAGGATTTTAACATCAAGATAAGTGATTTTAATGCTGTAGTATGTTTCGGCATTGAATGTTTGCCATTTATATGTTGTGCTCCACCCTGAGTATAAATGCTTTAAATAAATAAATAAATAAGAAATTGTCCTATGCTAATATAATATATTGCATATACATATAATATTGATATGGGCCCCCTGGTGGCGCAGTGGTTTAAACCACTAAACTGCTGAACTTGCTGACCAAAAGATTGTCAATTCAAATCTGGGGAGCGGAGTGAGCTCGCGCTGTTAGCCCCAGCTTCTACCAACCTAGGAGTTCGAAAGCATGCAAATGTGAGTAGATTAATAGGTACCGCTCAGGTGGGAAGGTAACGGCGAAGTCAGGGGAAACCTTTAACTTTATAATACTACTAATAATACAATATAATAATATAAAATAATATTCTAATATCATAATACTAATATATTAATTATAATACAGTACTACTGATAATATATAATATATAATGATCATACTGTTTTATTGTTGTATATTTGAATATTTTATGTTGTTCTGTAATGTTTTTAATTGTGAGCCGCTTTGAGTCTCCGTATGGAGAGATAAAGCAAGATGGAAATAAATAAATAAAAATATTGCCAGTAAAAGAAAAAAAGGACTAAATAGGTGAAGGAAGAAAGAAAAAGAAGGGAAGAGAAGTGAAAGAAGGAAGGGTGAAGGGAAAGCAAGGGGGGGGAGGGAAGACAGATATATTGTATGAGGGAAAGGGAGGGCGAAGAAAGAAAGAGAAAAAGAGAAAAGGAAAAGGGAGAAAGAAGGGGAATCTGTATGTGGGAAAACAATGGAAGAAGGAGATAAACAAAAAAAGAAGGGAAGAGAAAGAAAAAAGGAAGGAAGAAGGTGTATGAGGGAAAGTGGGGAAGAAGAAAAAGGAAAACAGACATATTGTATGAGGGAGAGGAAAGGAGGAAGAAGAAAGAAAAGAAAAAGAAGGAAGAGAAAGGAAAGAGGAAAAATATCAGAGAAAGGAAGGAATAAGAGAAAGAAAGAGAAGAGAAAGGAAAGAAGACATGGAGGAAGGGGAAACGATGAGTGAAAAGAAGGGAAGAAACAAAAACAACAAAAAGAAAAGAAAGAGAAAAGCAGGAAGAAGAAGGTGTATGAGGGAAAGAGAGGGGGAAGAAAGAAAGAAAACAAAGCGAAGGAAGAGAAAAGAAGGCAGGAAAAAGAGAAAGAAGGGAAAGGAAGAAAGAAAGAAGGGGAAACTGTACGAGGGAAAACAACGGAAGAAGGAAAGAAACAAAGAAAAGAGAGGAGGTGTATGAGGAAAAGGGAGGATGAAAGAGTCACAAAGAAAATGCAAACCCAGGCAATGCCAAATATGTATGCTAGCAAGCTAATATAAGGCCCAGAATAGTGTCTTCAGCAAGTGCTAGTGAAGTTCAGATGCAAAGCGGAGCAAGCAGTGTTTCCCATGACTAGGCCAGAAGGCACAAGAAAATGAATTTAAATGAATTTAAGTAACGTGATCATTTCCAGAAATCCTTGGAGCTAGGCTGTCTCTATATATTTTACCATTTCCAAGAATGAGATAATTAGAGACTGGCAGGCAATTAACCAGTTGTTCAGATAATTGTTTGACTTATTTAAGGAACAGTGTGCGTTTAGAGTGATCTGCTTCTTCAGGCAAAATGGAATCATACTGTTAGCATTACAAAAATGTTATATCTGATTTTATTTATTGTACACTTGAGGATAGAACCTATGTAGTAATATATTCCTGAATTGTGCAGTTTTGGCCCTAGAGCTTCCATCCTGGTCAGCAGACAGAGTGATTAGGAGCTAGTTTTAGGTATCATGAAAGGCCAGCACATTCTTTGGTTATTTGTTCTTTTTGTCTTTTGGTTATTTATTCTTGTCTTTTTCATTGTAGGTAGTTAGTAGATATGATATTTCATTGAGATAAAGTAGATTTAGGTAGTAGTCACATGCTTTATTTATTGAAGTATTGACACCTTTGGCCTTCCAGGGCAGGCATGGGTTAAATTTGGTCCTTCAGGTGTTTTGGACTTCAACTCCGACAGGTAGGCTGTTAGGAATTATGGGAGTTGAAGTCCAAAACATCCGAAGGATCAAAGTTTACCCATGCCTGCCCTACACTACATTTAAAGGCACCAGGACAGCATACTCTCTGCGTGTGGTGGAGGCTCCTTTGGAGGCTTTTAAACAGAGGCTGGATGGCCATCTGTCAGGGGTGCTTTGAATGCAATAGTCCTGCTTCTTGGCAGTGGGTTGGACTGGATGGCCCATGAGGTCTCATCCAACTCTATGATTTTATACGATAAAACAAAATTGAATGTTGTCTATTTAACAGTAAAAATCATGAAGAAACTAAAACTATATTAAATTGCCACAATTTAAAGCTTTTGTTGTTCATTCATTCAGTAATTTCCGACTCTTCGTGACTTCATGGACCAGTCCACGCCAGAGCTCCCTGTCGGTCAATACAACCCCCAGCTCCTTCAAGGTCAATCCAGTCACTTCAAGGATGCCATCCATCCACCTTGCCCTTGGTTGGCCCCTCTTCCTTTTGCCTTCCACTTTCCCCAGCATAATTGTCTTCTCTAGGCTTTGCTGTCTCCTCATGATGTGGCCAAAGTACTTCAACTTTGTCTCTAGTATCCTTCCCTCCAGTGAGCAGTCGGGCTTTATTTCCTGGAGGATGGACTGGTTGGATCTTCTCGCAGTCCAAGGCACTCTCAGAACTTTCCTCCAACAACACAGTTCAAAAGCATCTCTCTTCCTTCGCTCAGCCTTCCCTAAGGTCCAGCTCTCACATCCGTAGGTTACTATGGAGAATACCATTGCTTTAACTATGCGGATCTTCGTTGCCATCATTGTTTGAGTCCATCATTGTTTGAGTCCACATTGTTTGAGTCCACAGTCCAGATCCATCATTGTTTGAGTCCACAGTTTGGTCCAGATCCATCATTGTTTGAATCTGGATGTAGTTGAACTACAACTCCCAAACTCAAGGTCAATGCCCACCGAACCCTTCTAGTGTTTTCTGTTGGTCGTGGGAATTCTGTGTGCCACGTTTGGTTCAATGCCATATTTGGTAGAGTTCAGAATGCTCTTTGATTGTAGGTGAACTATAAACCCCACCAACTACAACTCCCAAATGGCAAGGTCTATTTCCCCCAAACTCCACATTTGGGCATATTGAGAATCCATGCCAAGTTTGGTCCAGATCCATCATTGTTTGAGTCCACAGTGCTCTCTGGATGTAGGTAAACTACAACTCCCAAAATCAAGGTCAATGCCCACCAAACCCTTCTAGTGTTTTCTGTTGGTCATGGGAGTTCTGTGTGCCACGTTTGGTTCAATGCCATATTTGGTGGAGTTCAGAATGCTCTTTGATTGTGGGTGAACTATAAACCCCACCAACTACAACTCCCAAATGTCAAGGTCTATTTCCCCCAAACTCCACATTGGGCATATTGAGTATCCATGCCAAGTTTGGTCCAGATCCATCATTGTTTGAGTCCACAGTGCTCTCTGGATGTCGGTGAACTACAACTCCCAAACTCAAGGTCAATGCCTTGAGTTTGGGAGTTGTCGTATTGAGTATTCGTGCCAAGTTTGCCAAGGTCGTATTGAGTATTCGTGCCAAGTTTGGTCCAGACCCATCACTGTTTGAGTCCACAGTGCTCTCTGGATGTAGGTGAACTACAACTCCCAAACTCAAGGTCAATGCCCACCAAACCCTTCTAGTGTTTTCTGTTGGTCATGGGAGACTTGTGTGCCACGTTTGGTTCAATGATTGTAGGTGAACTATAAATCCCAGCAACTACAACTCCCAAATGACAAAATCAAGAATTTTTGAGTGAAGGGCATGCATTGGGATGTTAGGTGTCTTGGGTCCAAATTTGGTGTCAATTCCAGGGGTTTTTTGAGTTCTGTGGATTCCACAAACGATTTATATAGAGATAAGATGATTCAAAGCAGCGGCCAAGCTGCTTCTATGCCAAAGCGAGGGCAAGATGGCGGCTCAGCCTTGAAAAAGCGTCCGCCTCTTTCTATTTCCCCCCTCCCTCCCCGCACGTGATTGATTGGCCGAGTAGGCGGGACTTGGGCGTCGACGTCACATCCTGCGGTCCAGTGGCGCAGGGAGCGAGCGAGCGAGAAGACGCTGAAAGAGTGAGCACGCGCGCTAGAGAGAGAGCAGAGAGAGAAAGAGAACGTGAGTGCGGCTCTTCCCGTTAGCCGGGCGCCCTCCCTCCGCGGGGCTGTTCCCATCCCGGGGGGGGGGGTAGAGAACGTTGAGAAAGAGAGCGCGTGAGGGGAAAAGGGAAGAAGGGAGAGGGGCTGCCATGTTGAAGGCCCCGCGTTATAGGGGGGCTGCGAAGAGGGCCTTCCTCTATTGAGGGGAAAGAAAGAGAGGGGGTCATGTTTCAATGGGGAGGGGGGAACCATGCCCCCTTGGCCCAGAGGCTGCCATGTTGGGGAAGGCCGCACCAGGCATAAGGAGGGAGAAAATGGCGGCGGATGGGAAACGCCCCCTCAGTGCTTCCTTTGCCCCATCCATCCTCTGCCTTTCCCATCCTTCCTGCATTCAAAGTTAAATATGCTGCTGCCTGGGAGGGCTTCAAGCAGAGGCTGGATGGCCATCTGTCGGGAGGGCTTGGATTGTGCCTTCTTGCACAATCGCTTGTGGTCTCTTCCAATTCTAAGAGTGGCGAGAGGATTCTGCAGAGAGAAGAAGAAGAAATAACACCACAATCCCCAAATGGTCAATATCTGGGAGTCTACTGCAGGTTTTCAAGAAGAGGCTGGATGGCCATCTGTCGGGAGGGCTTGAATTGTGTCTTCCTGCACAATCATTTGGGGTCTTCCAATTCTAAGAGTGGTGAGAGGAAGACACTGGATGGCCATCTGTCGGGAGGGCTTGGATTGTGCCTTCTTGCACAATCGCTTGTGGTCTCTTCCAAGTCTTAAGAGTGGCGAGAAGATTCTGCAGGGAGAAGAAGAAGAAGAAACAACACCACAATCCCAAAATGGTCAATATCTGGGAGTCTACTGCAGGTTTTCAAGAAGAGGCTGGATGGCCATCTGTCGGGAGGGCTTGGATTATGCCTTCCTGCAGAATAAGGCTTGGACTGGATGTCGCGTGTGGTCTCTTTCAATTCTAAGAGTGGCGAGAGGATTCTGCAGGGAGGAGAAGAAGAAGGTTTTCAAGAAGAGGCTGGATGGCCATCTGTTGGGAGGGCTTGGGTTGTGCCTTCCTGCAGAATAAGGCTAGGACCGGGTATCGCTTGTGACCTATCAATGCTATGAGAAGATTCTGTGTTCTGCAGCAAGAAGAAGAAACAACCCACAATCCCAAAATGGTCAATATCTGGGAGTCTACTGCAGGTTTTCAAGAAGAGGCTGGATGGCCATCTGTCGGAAGGGCTTGGATTGTGCCTTCCTGCAGAATAAGGCATCGACCGGATGTCGCTTGTGGTCTCTTCCAATTCTAAGAGTGGCGAGAGGATTCTGCAGGGAGAAGAAGAAGAAGAAGAAGAAACAACACCACAATCCCAAAATGGTCAATATCTGGGAGTCTACTGCAGGTTTTCAAGAAGAGGCTGTATGGCCATCTGTCGGGAGGGCTTGGATTGTGCCTTCCTGCTTGTATTGTTGTATTCGGGCTTGGCCTCATGTAAGCCGCACCGAGTCCCTTGGGGAGATGGCAGCGGGGTACAAATAAAGTATTATTATTATTATTATTATTATTATTATTATTATCAACTGGATGTTGCTTGTGGTCTCTTCCAATTCTAAGAGTGGCGAGAGGATTCTGCAGGGAGGAGGAGAAGAAGAAACACCACCACAATCCAAAATGGTCAATATCTGAGAGTCCACTGGAGATTTTCAAGAAGAGGCTGGATGGCCATCTGTCGGGAGGGCTTGGATTATGCCTTCCTGCAGAATAAGGCTTGGACCGGATGTTGCTTGTGGTCTATCCATGCTACGAGAGGATTCTGTGTTCTGCTGCAAGAAGAAGAAACAACACCACAATCCCAAAATGGTCAATATCTTTAGGAAGGCCCCATCCATCTATCTACACCAGGCCTGGCAAACTTTGGCCCTCCAGGTGTTTTGGACTTCAGCACCCTAGGCATTTGGGAGTTTACTTCCAGAACACCCAGAGGGCCAAAGTGTTCCCTGCTTGGACTGTAGATGGGGAGCTGCATGGCCATCTGTCGGGAGGGCTTTGATTATGCCTTCCTGCAGAATAGGGCTGGACCAAATGTTGCTTGTGGTGCCTTCCAGTTCTATGAGTGGCCAGAAGATTCTGAGTTATGCAGCAAGAAGAAGAAACACCATAATCCAAAAATGGTCACTATATTTAGGCCGGTCCCATCCATCTATCTATCTATACCAGGCCTGGCAAACGTTCTCAGTCTAGGTGTTTTGGACTCCAGCTCCCTAGGAGTTGTGGGAGTTAACATCCAAAACACTTTGAGGGCCAAAGTGTTCCCATGCTGGAACTGTAGATAGGGAGCTGGATGGCTATCTGTAGGGAGGGCTTTGATTATGCCGGTTGTTGCGTGTGTTCTCTTTGACTTCTGTGAGTGGCCAGAGAATTCTGGGTTCTGCAGCAAGAAGCAGAACAATAAAATTAATAATAAGAACAAGGCTACCTAGAAAAGAACTATCTAGCATAGAAGCTGCAATGGCTCCAACAGAGACAGGCCAAGACCTTTTAAGATGCCCAAAGTCGTTATCTATGGCCTGTAAAAACATGTATAATTCCTGTCCCTCTCACAACAGTTTGGTCTCAAGATAGCTATTTTGCTAGCAGAAAAACTCCAGGTGTTTTGGACTTCAATACCCACAATTCCCAACAGCTGTTAGGAATTGTGGGAGTTGAAGTTCAGAACACCTGGAGGGCCGAAGTTGGCCCATGCCTGGTCTAGGGTCATGTTTTTTTTTCCCCCTCAATCATTACATTTTTCATTTGGTGACCCATTTCCTGCAGCGTGTCAGGCCTTGTTAATCTGCCTGACTTTTGTCTATTTTTATAATGCCTTCCTAATAACCTCTTGAAGTCTTCCTGCCTTCTTTGCTCAAAGGCTTAATTATCTTCGGCCATTCTCCCTTGACATAATTTCTTCTATTTGTTGTGCTTGGGTAGAGGAATCTTAGATCTTCTAGGTATTTTGAGGGCTTCTAACCCATTTGGTCAAAGTTGAGAGTCCCAGTGTTTGGATCATAGGTTCTCTCTCCTGCTTTTTGACAACTGTCATTCCCTTGATAAGATTTCTCCATTTTTACACCCATTGAAATTCTTTATATACAGTTGTGAGTCTCATAATAACTCCATCTTTAATGGTTAGCCATGTATAAGGACATCTGCTTGCCACTTCTGAACACAGTCCTTGACACAATAGTCATCTGTATTTTTAAGAGGTTTTTTTTTTTTTTTGCTTTCTGTACCTTGTTTGCTACATTGTTTTTGAGGAAAGTATCCTATTCCCCAGCAGGGATTATTTCATTCGAACATATGTTCCAAGAACAGACTATCAGTTTGAATTGCACTACCATCCCTCTGCCTCAAACAACTGTTACATAAAAATGATAAAACATGGTATAATTAAGATAAAATAGGTCAGTTATAGTGTGTATGCCTCGTTTGTGATTTTGTAAGTCAGGAGTATATGAGGCAATGGAAGCTGGTGTCTCAGATGTAAGTGAAGCGGATTCTGTTTATTCTAGAATTAAATAAGGTATCTAAGGACCCTTCCACATAGCCATATAACCCAGAATATCGGCTTTGAACTGGGTTATCTGAGTCCACACTGCCATATATTCCAGTTCAAAGCAGAAAATTTGAGATTTTATTCAGCTGTGCGGAAGGGAACCCAAGATACTGAATTTATTTTGAGATGTCTAATATCCTATAAAGCTACTTCAAATTTTAAGTTACACCTGGACTACAATTACCATGCCACTCAGTGTGGATCCCAGCCTGCACTGCAATTAAGCGGGTGCAAATTTAGAACATTAAAACTATAAAAAGACAAAATATTCCCATGTTTCTCCCCTAAGTGTCTTATTTATTCTTTATCCCTGCTGTCACTTCTCCCTATGTGAGTCCTCTGCAACAATAAGTTTGGGGTCCTGATTGTTTTAAAACCCCATTGATCCCAGTAGAACTTCTCAGTAAGTGCTGGAACGGATTCTGTGATGGGTTCATGTATTTTAAAATTGCAAGGGTTCCTTATTATAAGAATAACATCTTGTTTTTTTCAATGCATTTTTTCTTCATAGAATGCCTAAATCAAAAGAACTCGTGTCTTCAAGCTCATCTGGCAGTGATTCAGACCGTGAAATTGAATCCGGGGTGAATATTTTATTAAATATTTTTACCATGCCTTTCTAAAGTCGTTCAAGGAGGCTCACAGCATATTTAAAAGGGCTGTTGTTGTCATGTACTTTCCAGTTGACTCTGGCAGGGTTTTCTCAGGAAGATTTAACCAGGGCATATTTGACATTTCTGTCCTCTTGAGGCTGAGAGAGTGTGACTTGTCCAAGCTCAGGTCTCCTTGGTGAGTTGGGGTTCAAACTCTTTTCTCCTGGAGTCCCACTCCAAGGTTTGAATCATTGGACCATGCTGGCTTCTTAGATATACATACCAACAGTGAAACACAATCAAAATAGCAAGTAAGGAGAATAAAAGAAACATTAGATATCCAGAAAAAAGGCTCACTTTTTACCCAGATCCTTTTATAAACATCTGAAGTTTTTGCGTAAGTGGCTAGAATCTACAGGAGTAGATCGGGAAGGGGATGATGCTTGTATAAAACCATATTAATTTTTCATATTAAGTTATTTTTCATACTAATTAAAGGACACTCACCTTGCTTTCATTCAAGAGAATATTCTCTTGTTGAGCACATGTTATGATTTCAATTTTAAGATGTGGGTATTTGGACCACCGTGATTAGCATGGCGGGGCTTGTTGGGTTTTTGGTACGGCTGTGGTCAAAATCCATGATATCTTTTGGTTTGTTTTTAAACCAAAACTTTTAGGTACATGCTTGCATAAAACAGAACTTACGAGATGGATATTTTGCAATAATTGATTTTAAAGCAAATAGAATTTAACATTCACTTGTCCCATTGTATTAGATTTAACTTTGAGTCAAGTGCATAGAAAGTTGTATCCTAATTTTAAAAAAGCTTGAAGATGAATGCTTCTATCGCTCTCATCTTTAACAAGCTTGGCACATGTGCCTAAATGCAGATGTTATACAAGCTGTGCTTGTGTAGAAAAGTATTTAGTTCTTAGGAGGTCAGTAATGGTCCAGTAAGTAATTAAATTTTAATTGTGTATTAAAATCCAGGTTTTTCTTCAAATACTGACATATTGTTCCATATTCTTTTAATTTCAGCATGTGAATCATCTAGCGTCGGTGAGTAAACGGCGGTGACTTCCAAGTTTATTGATTTATTTACTATATTTCTACCCCACTCTTCTCACCCCAAAGAAGACTCAAGTTCAACAATGTTGATAGATCCAGTTGATCTATCCATAGCTGTTCAGAGAGATTTGTAAATTGGCGCTGACTATTATAATATCTATAGACAGAATCAACGTGATTATCATTGGAATGTTTATTTAATTTATATCCCTCCTTTTTTCAAACATGGGATGTGAGGCGGTTTACAGGTTTAAAACAAAATAGTTGCATTAACTGTTTTAACATAGTTATATTTCAAAATAGTATAAAATCATTTTTAAAATTTGACTGTAACTATAGCAAACAAATTCCAGTAGAGAAATCCTTACACCACTTATCACCAAATACCTGATCAAGCAGTTGAAGAATATACATCAATGAAAAAAAAAAACTTCTTCTAATTGTTGAGGTCTATAAATTAATGATACGGGTTTTCTCATGATGACAGGGATGAAATTGCCAGTGGTGTGTGTAGTGAATCTTGTTAGTATTTTCAGGTAACATTAAATCATGGCTTGGCAGAACATTGATGAGCAAAAAGGAGCCTGAGTGAAGTCTACCACTCTCACAAATATATTCTTTTCCCCTTTCTCCTCCTTTGTCAGGCAAAGGAGTAAACAGGCACTCTATGACACTTTAGCTGATTTGTGTATGAAAGAGAATAAAAAGAGGACCAAAGTCTGGTGCCAGGTGTAATTCATTTAATAATTATTTGTGAACAGCTGATGTGTTTGGGAAATTCTTTTTTATGATAACCATAAAACATGTTGCTATTTTTGCAGTCATACAACTTGAGTCTTTGAGTATAGATATCACGTGTTAGTCATTTTAATTTATTTCTAACAAGTTTCAATAACACAAGCCTTTGTTCTTAACTCCTGTATGCTTTCCTTGTTAAGGAGCCTTCCAAAAAAAAAAATTATTGACCGAGTTGTATTTTTAAAGATTTGTGGAAAAACTGGTTTCATCATAGAGATTTTCCATAAGAGGCTGTTTTGTTCTTGCCAGTCTATGTAAGAGTGTCTTTCCACCAGGAAGCTTGCAAGTCTTACTTGTTTGGTGGTGTATTTCTTTAAAATCCCAGGTTATTAATGCTTTGTGTTATTTCAAGAATATATATTTGGCACAAGAGGAAGGGTTTCTCAACTTTCTTCAGTGCTATTGTGTGCATATTATTTTGTTTTGTAGCTTATTTGGTATGCTGAGTAGTTTGGTCCATTTCATATAAATACTGAGACATAATTATTGACAGCAGGCTAGAAAAAATTGGTGATGTTTAGAAAATCAAAAGCCAGGGTTTAGATTTCCGGTTGTTTTCAAAATTACCATAAATAAAGGCCTAAATTTCCCTCTTGCTTCTCACCTAAAAGTAACGGTTATCATTAAATCACACTGCAAAAATGCAGTGTACTTAGAATAATAAAAAATAATGAATAGCTATAAAACCCTAATTCATAGTTACCGTAATTACTGTACTTGCTGTCAAACATGTAAAAGGTGGGGAACTTGCATTTCTGTTTCAGTCTGAGCAAACACGGTGGCAAGAGTATAGTCTTTTTTTAAATGGCTACCTTTGCGTTACTAAGGTTAAAAAAATAGAAATAAAAATAGAATGTATTTCAGAAGAGCATTTTACTTGTTTTAAGCACATTATGCAGGTGCATTATGACTTGCATAGAGAAGAGGACATGGCAAGTGCAGCTACAGATGGTGGTGGCAGCTGACTCTTGTTTACCTAATGCAAATTTAGTTCAAAACAGATTTAACCTTGCCTCCATCTGAATGAATGTTACTTGCCCAAGATCACCAGGTGTCTCAAGATACATGTCATGATGCACCTGCTGCTGTGGTTTCCCCCTTCTCATGCCACACCTTAAAGAAAGAGCTTAGAGCTTTAGCCGCCTTTTCTTGGGGTGCGTCTACACTATAGAATCAATGCAATTTGTAACCACTTTCACTTAATTGGCTCAGTACTATGGAATCATGGGACTTGTAATTTTGCAAGATTTTTAGCCTTCTCTCTCAAGAAGTGCTGGTGCCTCATGAAACTATAAATCTTAGGATTCCATAACATTGTACTCTGGAAGTTAAAGTGGTGTCAAACTGCATTAATTTTTGGTGACAGTTTTGCCGTCCATCTTTCTTACTCTGTTTCTGCACTGGCATCATTTTCCCTCTTGATTTTTCCATCGGCATAGTTTTGTAATAGGATATGGGGTCAATATCTACAGATATCTCTGTGACCCTTGTAGACTATCCTAGCTATAACCCATATAAAACATCTAAAGACCCACGAGAGAGAGGGCCTTCTCAGTGGTGGCCCCCCGGTTGTGGAACACTCTCCCTACAGACATCAGGCAGGCGCCCTCTCTTTTGTCCTTCCGAAAAAGCCTCAAGACGTGGCTGTTCGAGAGGGCATTTAATTAAGTGCTATAGTAATGTGGTAAAGACGACTGGAATGGTACAAGGAATACGAGATTGGTCACGATTCTATTACGAGACGAAGCGGATTAGTTAGTGTAATTTTAACTGTTGTATTGTTGTATGGTTAATATGCTGTTGTACTTGTCTTTGTGTGAATTGCCTTTTGTACTGTACACCGCCGTGAGTCGCCTGAGTGGGCTGAGAATGGCGGTTAATAAATGCTCCAAATAAATAAATAAATAAATGAATTGATAAATGGGTACTATCTAAGTCAGTTTTTAAGTAGCACATTAGCTGGCAGTACAGCAGATACGAAATATTATTGCAATAAATAACACAGGGTGTGGCCTTTCAGATATTGCTGATCTGCCAACTCCCATGATCCTGCATTGCTGGTTCTTACGACCAGGGCTGCCACAAATAAATGTGTATATAGTCCTAACAACCTTTGGAATATTACCATCAATAATTAAATATTCAGTTAATCAAATGTTGATTAAGTACATCTGCTTTCATTATAACAAACACATTTAAGATGTGTGCTGTTGTTTGTATAATAACGAATGTAGTGGTGATTTATTTCATGTCAAAAGCATTGCACAAATAAATAAGTATAAAACTGATAAAGTAGAGGGAACACAAGTGGCTAAATAGTTTTAGACCAAAAACGGGCAACAGTGACTGCATTGTTTGTAGCTTTAAACAGTTCTTCCTCTGTGCATGAGGCAGGCCATTGTTGGCATGCATACAGATGCGGAGTTGTTTGTTCTGCTCCACAGTTGCACAAGGTGGAGGATTCTTCTAGGTAGTACCATTTAGCTAGGTTGCCTTTTGGTCTGCCAACTCCACTTCTCAGTCTGTTCAGAGACTTCCAAGCTGCCCATTCTTGATTTGCCTCTGGAGGAAGACCCTCGTGGGGGAGGGTTATCCATTTGGGATTTCCTGGAGTAGTTGTAGTGGTGCAACACCCACACATTAATGAGTATATTATGTATTATTATGCTCTTGGAGAGATAAAACATGTTACCTGAAAAGAAAATACGCAAGCTGTATGCTCATAGATACTGGTAATTGCTCTGTGAAACTGTGGACATGCTTTTCTGATACTATTTGCATGGTTATTAAAAATATGTGAAAAAAATTAATTAGTTTTTTCTTGATGACGTAAAATGCACCCATCCTGTTTGCATTCTCTTTGACTTTATGTGGGTCATTAATCCATGTTACATTTGTTAGATATGCTTCAAGACTACCAACTACTTGTTATATTGGGTTTTATGCATTTTATCTTTAATTGTGTTGCTCTTTGTTTTTATACTTTTTACTCATGCTAAAGGAGTTCCTAACTTGAAAATACATCAGCTATTTAAAAATATTGCAAAATTAATGGTGTTGATTTAAAGTAGTATTTACTAAGGACTTTTGCTTAAATCACATGGAAGAGGCTATGTTCTTGATTAACAGGTCTGTCGTCCCCCGTCCCCCCCAAATCTCTGACAGGTTAATTAATATTGATTGCAACTAAACAGATTCCATTCCTATACTGTCTGGGGAGTGTAGGGGAGGAGAAAATGTGTGGTATAGTTTTGTAATGATTACTTTCCCAATACGTTCTTACTTTTTTTTGCTTTTTTACAAATGTCAAGGAAAAAAGGAAAAAACAGGCACCACAAGAAAAACCTGTAAAGAAACAGAAAACTGGTGAAAGTTCCAAAGGTGCAGCATCCTCTAAGCAGAGTAGCAACAAAGATGAGAACATGTTTCAGGTAACTGATGACTCTTGTGTTGGTGAGTTGGGATGTTTCTCTAGGGGCATTGTGGTGTTGTAAAATTCAAGCACGAAATACTATTGTACAATGTAAAACCTGGTGCATTTTTGTATCAGAAGGATTCTATTGCTAGGATTACTATAATTTCAAGATAGACTTCTGCTTCTAAAATTTAATTATCCCTAATTTAATTTAACACGGCACAGTGGCTGTTAAGATCCCAAAACATTTGATGATTGTAAAAAATACTTTCTACACTGTAGAATTATTGGAGTTTGACATCACTTTAATTATCATGGACAATGCTACGGATCATTAGAGTTAGTTTCCCAGGGTCTTTATCCTACTTTGCTTGAGTGCTTGCGTCTCAACAAGTTACATCTCCCATGGTTGCACAGCCGTGAACCATGGCAGTTAAAGTGGCATTATACTGCTTTGGGATTCTACAGTATAGGTATACAGTATACTCAGGAATGGGCTCCCTGGTAGCACAGCGGGTTAAACCATTGAGCTCTTGAACTTGCTGACCGAAAAGTTGGTGGTTCGAATCTGGGGAGCAGGGTGAGCTTCTGCTGTTAGGCCCAGCTTCTGCTAACCTAACAGTTCGAAAACATGCAAATGTGAGTAGATCAATAGGTACCGCTTTTGTAGGAAGATAATGGCGTTCCATGCAGTCATGCTGGCCACATGACCTTGGAGGTGTCTCTGGACAATGCCAGCTCTTCAGCTTAGAAATGGAGATGTGCCCCACCCCCCAGAGTCGGACTCAAGTAGACTTAGTGTCAAAGGGAAACCTTTACTGTAGTTAGGGAGGACATTTAGCTGTTCCAGGAAATATGTCTGGTTTAAATCAACATGCTGTCTTGAATGTAGTGTTAATGTTTGTTACGAGGATAAAGCATGACCTAACTAAAGAACACAGCACATCACATGCATTAACAAATGTGTTGAAATATGCTATTAATACATCATATTACCAAGCTTTGAAATGTCAGTGATGGAGATTTTTGGAGTCTTCATTATCATTTTACACAAAGCAGTTGTTTTCCTTAAATATTGAGAGATTATGTCGTGTAATGTCATTTAGTGTGTTGTGTATTTGTATGCTTTTATGTTGCAACGTGGCATTGAATTATTGCCAAATGGGAAGCCGCTCTCAGTCCCTTCTGGCGTGAGATAGATTCAAACAAAGGAAGAGGGGTACTGGGGTTACAGATTCACATCTTGGTTGGATTACTGAAATACCCACCCCACGCAATCTGTTATGTTGAATGGGCAACTACTGTAGAGATAGAGGCAGTTTTCCCCTCTGCAGCAGTGGCCTGCAGTGCATAGGTTTTGTCTAAATAGCAGCTGGAATTTCATTGATAAATCTGTGGTTGAAGCTTCTGTGGTTCCAGTGGATTTTGGGATGTAGTAGCAGAGAGACACAGCAAATCCACCATTCCAGAAAAGGCAATTGTCCTTTGCTTTATGGGACATATGAGAGTGGGGAGGCTTCAGGGGCTTGAAGGGCACAAAAGCTGATTGGGGGGGGGGGGCACATATTCGTTTGAATCATACTCTGAACCGCCTAGGTATTAAAGCTCCTAGCTCTTACCATGTCTAGCAAGAGTGTTCTCTTAAGCCTTCAGTTTCCTGTGTTGTAGTTTCAGGATGTTTGTTCTCTTGCTGGTGCTTCCTGAACACTAATCTATGAACTACTTGCATCATAGTTTCATGTTCCCAAATTAAATATAGACTGATATTAGCATGTACTACTTCTCATTTCACTCTGGTCTTCCCCCTCTTGCTTTGTAACAGATTTTAATATGTGGCCTGTATTCTGTGGTTCAGCACTGCATCTGAAGAAAGGGATTGAACTGCTAAAGACGGATTGTGCCGTTGAATTTAGAAATGGAAACAGCAATGTGCATAACACCATGAACATTTTAAAAAGTTATTTTAGAAATGTGGACAGAATCACTAGGCCTTGATAAAAAGCTATGCTTAAGTTTACTCCAGGAATGTAACCACTATTGTTTTCTGACATGTTACTGCCAATAATCTAGCATTAGTTGCAGTTTCCAAGTCTTCTTCAAGGGCAGTCTTACACAGACTGTATTTGCAGTAACGTAATGAAGATATTATCAGCATATGGACTATTATGGCTAGGTCTAGGAAAAAAATCCTTACCAATAGATAGGGTCAGAGACTCTTTTTCTTGCAGTCCTGTGCTCTTATAATAGTAGTAGTAATAGTAATAGTAGTAATTATTATTAAATAATAATAATTTTGGCAGGGAGGAGGTAGGCTTACTGCAACTGCTCCTCCTTTGACAAACGAAAGGCCTAGTTGCTCACACTTGGCTGTGAGTTATTCCTAGAGCAGAGCACCTGCTTATTGGATCTAGGTTCCCTGGCAAAGGCAGAAATTGCTGTTTTCTCTCAGGTGTTCACAGTTGCTTGCTAACATTGGTGAAGACTGCCTACCTTGCAGGATTTTTTTTTATCCTCATATAATTTATTTTAATGCACAGGATAATGTAACTCGGGTCAACATGTGCTAGATTTATTATCAGTCCTGACTTTGAATATAACACTGTGTTTGTGTTTCTGGGCTAGGATTATGGGTTCTTGGTCTCTTGGGGATTACTCAGATTCTTCTTGTGTATACTTTGAGTTCTTGTCCTTCAAAAGATTTCCAAAATATCAAAAATGTAGATTTCTTTTAAAAATGCAGCCATAGTAATGGGAAATGCTCTTTTCAAGGAAGAACCTCTCATATAATAACCTGCATTTGAACTTTGCACTTCTCTTAGTTATTGCTGCTTAGTATTTATAAACTGTTTCTATGATCTATGGAATAAACAACAACAGTTTGGTGCTGTATCATATGATACTTTATTAGTGTTTGAGTAGTGTTATTACATATAAACTAACAATTGATTTCTGAATTTTTTTTGGCAGATTGGTAAAATGAGGTATGTCAGTGTTCGTGATTTTAAAGGTAAAGTCCTAATTGATATTAGAGAATACTGGATGGATCAAGAAGGTGAAATGAAACCAGGCAGAAAAGGTAAATCTACATTATTGGGTGCTGGCCATTTACGTTTTAGTTGTTATTTTACCATTATATCTCTGGAGGTAGGCAAAATGGGGCCTTCTGGATGTTGCTGCACTACAAACCTTATTGTTCTGTACCATTGCTATGCTGGCTGGGACTGATGGGCATTGCAGATGAACAACATTAGGAAATACATATGTTGCCACCTCTAATGTAAGGCATGGTTACTAGATGGATAAAGATGATATGAATTGCATACTGACAACTCTAGTTCCGAAGTTGCCATGGCAGATATTGCTTATCTCACAGCTGTTCCACCGTTTCCCTGTGTGGATATCTAGTAGAATGAAGTGAGGTGGTAGAATAAACTGTATCATTTCAGACATAATAATTGAGTGATTTCCTATACTGAAAACACACACAAAGTAGAAAGTGTTAAGTTCTTGTTTTTATTTGTAAGTGGTATTTTACTGAGATACCTTTTTAAAAAATGCAGACCACATGGTCTAACCCAGGCATAGACAAACTTTGACCCTCCAGCTGTTAGGAATTGTGGGAGTTGTCACCCAATACATCTGGAGTGCCAAAGTTTTCCCATGCCTGGTGTAACCTGTTTCTGCTACATTTGTGAACTTGGCCAGATATAACAAAAAGCACCTGCTAAAATCTCTCCTGTCTATTATAGGGTTGAAAAACTTCTTCACCCTATTTTTAGCCTGTTTTAATTAACTTGCCAGCGTGGTATTTCCCCAATTTCTTTGTATTTGCTATGTATCTTGAAGGATACAGAAGGGTTGGATATTTGGAGGTTCCTGATTCTTGGATGCCCCTGATTCTGGGGCCCACAGTGGATACAAAAAAACACAGTTGATCAGACACCACATTACTAAGTTGTGCTGACATGAATGCACGTGCTTCAGTGTGTCCATATTCACAGTGCCACTATTTGCGAATATGGAGTTCAACGATGTCTGGTTGCTGGAAATTACAGGTCTGGATCCAAAGGGTCCAATGTATTCATAGCATGAATCTGTAATGAAAAAGCATCCACCATACATTAAAGGCCACAAAATCTAAACACCTGAAGTCTAACATAGGAGACTAAGAGGTATTAAGGGTATTCATTTTCAAAATAAATAAATTTAAAAGCAGTCTGCTGCTTGTGGTCACTAGATGGCAGATTTCTCTTTGCTTTGGAGACGAAACAGGAGCAAGGCCAGGGACATCCAGTTCTTCAGAGGATTTCTGGGCACCTTGCTCTTAAGGGCCCCTGAATGCTTCAAATAATGGAGGGGGAGAGAGAAGGGGTCGCTGCTTGCTAAAGATTGAGGAAGAAAGTAAATAGAGAAAGGCTTGAATAAAAAAGAGACAAGAAAGAAATGGGTGGTGGGGGGAGAGAGACTGCCTAGGATCAGGAAGAAGGGCAAGGTGGAGCAGAGGCTTCTAACCCTTGTGAAGATGTGCACTTCTGCTATTCTGTAGTAACCTTCAAGGCTTTCTTTTTGTTTATTCCAGGTATTTCTCTAAATCCAGAACAGTGGAGCCAGCTGAAGGAACAGATTACTGATATTGATGAAGCTGTAAGAAAACTGTAGATGAGTCGTGCAGAAACTCTGTTATAGGTTTAAGTAGTCTTTTTACATCAGCATTCATTTTCTAAACTTATTTGTTTTCCAAGCTCTTGTATATTTGGATTGCAAAGCAATTTGTAAGATGGACGCTTTTTTTAATGTGCATTAAAAGTGTATTCTGAGTGAAGTTATTAATGTGTATACTTTTATTAAACAGGTGTTATATCCTCACATCATTGTGTAAAATAAAAACACGTTCAATTCATCTTCTTGAGTAAGATATAATTGTTGCCGACGTCCTTGGTAGATAAATGTAACATGAATTAAGCTCCTGATCCGCTTTGATAACTTTGTGTGAAAATATCCAGGGTTGGATTTTTCTTTTAATGTATGTCTTCAGTCTATTTTTGTGCCAGATTATTTTCCTTTATGCTATTGAAAGAGATGAGACCCAAGTATCAATACATATTATACAGCATCATATTTTTGTTGCTGAAAAGATAAGATAACTTGCAATTAATAAAGTTGTCGTGTCTTACATATATGTACTGGGATAGAAATAAAAAATTATTTTCAGGACATCATAAAATATTGTCCTTCGAATTGCAGCATAAAACTCCAATGCCCTACTTTATGATAGAAGTACAGCTTACAGTAGTTTATGTAATTCTCTGTTAATCCTAGTACACAGATAGGCTGTACTCAATAATTTTAAAAGCATCAAAATTTGTACATAGAAAATATAATTTACATAACTTGCAAAATTTGTATCAATGTAGCAAATCTTTGTTGTAAATGGAAAGTAGAAGGATAGGTAATATTATAGGTCATTGACTAAATTCCCACATATTTTAGGTTTCTTACACAGCCAAGTTAGAAACTTCAAATTTCATTTCTTATTTTTCAGATATTGGGAACATGCACTGTGTGTTTCCATGCAATCCAAGGAAAACAAACTTGTCCACATACTTGCCTTCTGTTATCAGTTTTTTCATGAAATACCGAAATATTGTGCTCTCTCATACACCGGTGTGTTAATGAAAGAAGTGTTCACATGATTTCCTCCATGTTTAAAAGTGGTAAGACCAGAAGCCCAGGTGATGTTTGAGGATGGGAGATGCCACTAAGTAGTTAGGCTTGACCAGTGTTCAACGGAAGCCTTCTTAGAGCAGGATATCTTCCTCCTGTGGTATCATGGAATCTTACAGGAAAATATAGTGATAGTAGAAGAGCCAGCTTCATGTACTGGTTTGAGCATTGAACCAGGTCTGAATCCCAGTTTGACCCTGGAAGCCCACTGGGCGACCTTCAGCAAACTCCCCATGGACAGATCTTGCCAAGAAAATCCCATGATGGCGTCACCATGAATCAGAAATGACTTTGAAGGCAGGTAACCACAAAAATAGTGATACAGTATGACACAAATGAAGTTCCTTATACAAAAGCATGTACTTTTCAAATACCTTTATGTTTATTTATACCCCATTTTTTTCTCTCCACAAGAAGACTCAAAGAGCTTGAAATGTTTTTGGTATTTGTGTAGTTACTGGGACACAGTTTACATTATGCATTGGTTGTAAATAGTTCACATGTGGAAAGAGCAGACTTCCTGTTTTAAAGCCATCAAAGTATTCCTGTTTTATGAAGTATTCAAAGGAAGCAAAGATGTTTATTTTGAACTATCTTGGATTTTTGAAGCTATGCTATTATGATTGGATTTCCCAGTAGTTAGATCCTTTGTAGTTTTTAAAAATTATTTTGGTTTACCTTTATGGTTGAACTGTATGTTAATAAAATTAGAAATTCTGTATTTATCCCTCATTAAAATGGACTCTACGTATCATCCAACCAAGGTCATTGCCTGTTCACCCTCAGATGCAACATATTCTTTAGTATTGATTAAGTACCTTAAAAATCCTAGTAAGGTTTTCTGAAATCAGGTTGGTGTTTATTGATCTGTTGCTGGTTTACAGTAATTTATAATCTGTCTCGCCACTAATCCTTGTGGAGAGAAAAAGCGGGGTATATAATAATAATAATAATAATAATAATAATAATAATAATAATGAAATAATGGATCACATACTCAGCTGCTGCAAGAAGATCGCGCAAATGGACTACAAGCAGAGGCATAATACCGTTGCTCAGATGATCCACTGGAACTTTTGCCACAAATACCATCTGCCTGTGACAAAGAACTGGTGGGATCCCAAGCCTGAAAAAGTTACAGAAAATGAACATGTGAAGCTATTCTATATACTCCTATACTGCTATGTGATGCACGTAGAAGTAAGAAGTAAGCCTGGTAATTATCTTTTTTCCTAGAGCCGAGTTCTCCAAGTATGCTTAATGACATCTATAATTGTGCCCTAGTGTATAGGCTCAATATAGGCTTCAATGTGGGTTTTTTTTGCTTGTCCTAAAGCCCCCGGCTGCCCTGGTTATACCTTTTTAAACACTGGGCTCCGTTTCACGAGTTCCGTGTTGTAGGCTGAGGTCATTAGTGGAGAGTGACCTCAGCCTACAACATTAGTCATTGGTGGAGAAGGAGCCCCCGGTGGCACAGTGGTTTAAACCGTTGTGCTGGCAGGACTGAAGACCCACAGGTCGCAGGTTCGAATCCAAGGAGAGGCGGATGAGCTCCCTCTATCAGCTCCAGCTACTCATGCAGGGACAAGAGAGAAACCTCCCACAAGGATGATAAAAACATCAAATCATCCAGGCGTCCCCTGGGCAACGTCCTTGCAGACGGCCAATTCTCTCACACCAGAAGTGACTTGCAGTTTCTCAAGTTGCTCCTGATACGACAAAAAAATAAAAAAATAGTGGAGAATAATTTTACAAACTAAACACAAGGAAACATGTTGCTGGCATTTATTTTATACCCCAGGTAACCAAGAAATAAAACAAAGATTGCTTTTAAAGATAGGCTTGAACTCGACAGCAGGGATGAACGAGTACAGAATTAGTTTGACACTTTCAGTCTCATCCCTCCTTATGTGTACCCAATGACAAGGCAACACCATGCACTTCATAGCTTCTTAAGGCATGGAATATTCACTTGGCTTTGCCAGATCTGTCCTCTAAAATGTAATTGCATCCCCTGGTATTTGTTGGCAGTACCTATCTTGTATATTTTTCACAATAGAAACAACTGATACTCCTACAGAGAAAAGTAAAGTGTAGCACTTTAGAGATTGTGTCTTCCATTCATGCAACTGGATGATTCAGTGTGGGTGACATATCCCTATGCAATCTTCTGAGGAAGGCAGAAAAGATTAAAGTCCCCAGACAGCAAGGAAGTGGGATTTACAATATATATCATTCCGTTGACGGTTCAGCCCCCTATAATTTGTTAGACCACCCATCTGTAAGTCACACTCCCTAGGAATTAGAGATAGATTAAATATTTCCATTTTGTAAGGATATGAAAGGAGGTGTAGAACATTCCTAATCATGACTTGGAGAAATAGAATTTCCATCATCTTTTGGTTATGCTTTCCATCGTAATGTAGCCCGTCACCTTTTCCCATGTCAATGTGCAATTCTCTTGATGAGAGTGCTATTATGGAACTGATCCAAGTCTCAGTAGTTTCCAAATATATACATTGGACTGTATGAAACTTGTATGTATATATTGCCTGGCATATGCAACTTTCAGAGTTTAGGTTTTAAGTGTAATGAACACACAGTTCTTACGGGTATTCCACCGAGTACTGGCTGTATCATATTTTAACAGAAAAGTAGTATGAGGTTTGAATAACCTAAACTGAGGGCTCAAGGAGGCCTTTTGTAGCTTTTCTCCCCTCCCCTCCTTTGCCTTTAGGAACTCTTATTTGTGTTTTGTCTTGGTTCACGTCTTAGCAGGCAAGCTCTATAAGTAAGCCCATCTATCAGTGTGTTGCCGAAGGCTTTCATGGCCAGAATCACTGGGTTGCTGTGAGTTTTCCAGACTGTATGGCCATCTTCCAGAAGCATTCTCTCCTGACATTTCACCTACATCTATGATAGGCATCCTCAGAAGTTTTGAAGTTTGTTGGAAACTAGGCAAGTGAGGTTTATATATCTGTGCAATGTCCAGGGTGGAAGAAAGAACTCTTGTCTGCTTGAGGCAGGTGTGAATGCTGCAATTGGCCACCTTGATTAGCATTTGATGGCCTTGCAGCTTCAAAGCCTGACTGTTTCTTGCCTGGGAAATACTGGTAAATACTGGTAGCTAGATTTTGGTCATTTTCACAGTTTGTTGGGAGGTGTTATCTGGCTCTGATTGTTTCATAACTGGAATTCCCCAGTTTTCTGAGTGTTGATCTTTATTTACTTCCTGATTTTAGAGGGTTTTTTTAAAAAAAAAATACAGGTAGCCAGATTTTGTTCATTGTCATGCTTTCTTCCTTTCTGTTGAAATTGTACACAGTGCCTTGTGGAATTCAACAGAAAGGAGAAAACTGTGAAAGTGACCAAAATCTAGCTACCTGTATTTTAAAAACTCTAAAATCAGGACAGTAAATAAAGAGGAACACTTTTAAAAAATAGGGAATTCCAGAAATGAAACAACCAGAGCCAAATAATACCTCCCAACAAAGGATCCCCTCAGACAGGAAGCAGCCAGGCTTACCTAGTTCCCAACAAACCTCACAACCTCTGAGGATGCCCACCATACATGTGGGTGAAACGTCAGGAGAGAATGCTTCTGGAACATGGCCATACAGCCCAGAAAACTCACAGCAACCCATCTATCAGTTTGTTTTGAAGGTTTCCATCTTGATAGCCACTAGATGGTAGCATTGCTCTTCACCTTACTCCTTCAGTAATTTTCATTTTATGCAACAGCAGTGCCTTGAATGTGGAATACTGAGAATTTAATTGTTTTTCTAGGATCTGTGTTTCTGAGTTGAAGCCTTTCCTACCTTAATTTTATGAGTCTAGTCTAAATAAAAAAAAAATACAAGATGGTATGCAAGGAAACAGGAGTAAAATATTAAGGCTATGGTAGAAATTAGTTGTCTCAAATGTGATAAAAAAAATAGGACTACCGAGACAGGAAAATGCCTTAGAGGTCATGGACTTTTTACATTTGGAATGCCAAGTCTTGTTTTGGGGGGGGCACTTTGGATGAGATACCCCCAGTTTGCCTGCAGGACTTGGAAGAGGCAGGACACGCAAAGGAATAGTTTTTTCCCCACTGCTCCTGATATCTTTGGGTCCTTTGTGCAATGAGAATGGTGGCATTGTTCAGAAGCTTTCCTACTTTCCTGTTAAATGC